GCCTATTTGCTCGAAGACATGAAGCGGCTGTCAGTCTCCGACAATCGCTGTCTGCGAAAGATTGCTCGTGTGTGGTGCCAACACTACGTAAGCAACGCAGAGGTACGAGACCGCGTGCTTGGAGCGAATAGTGCCAGTCTTCAGGACGTTATTCTCCTACATCGCATGCGTAGGCTCGAGCACGTTTTGCGTAGGCCAGCCCATCGCCTTCCACGTCGAGCGCTATTTGCACTCCCAGGTATCGATTGGAAAAAGTACCACGGTGGACATCCAATAACGTGGAGAAGGAGCATGAAGAAGGCAACCACAAGTTTGGCGGCAGTCGGACCAGTCCGTCTTCTAGGTTGGGGACCAAGAGGCTGAATAGCAATGGTTGGAAACATTGGACGTCATGGCCCGCAACATCATGGCGGCAATGTTGTTCTGCCATTGTATCCCCCTTTTAATACACACAAAAAGACAAAACAAAAACAAACATTTCAAAATGGTGTGTGTAAAACCAGAAAAATAGTTTCCCATTTTAAATGCAGTTCGTTTTCTTATCTTCACGTTTTTCTTCTGCCATAGTTCTGGCTGCACGATGTGTGTTAACAGACTGTGAATATATACATATATATATATATATATATATATATATATATATATATATATATATATATAAGTCTGTGAGGCAACTATCCGTATGTTGCTGTTTGCTGACGACTATGCGTTGTTTGCACACAGCGCGGATGAGTTGCAGCACATGACTAGTGCTCTGACTTCGACAGTGGCCGAATTCGAACCCACCATCAACACAAGCACAACTGTCTGTCTCTTTCAGTCTTCACGAGACGTACAATCTACAATAGTGCCGCAAAGCAGCATTCGCGATGACGTATTGGGAACCACCTCCCGCTTCTGCCACCTTGGGAGTGTGTTATCGACTGACCAGCAGATACGCAGTGAGCTGCGTATCCGCGTCTCGAACGCAGCGGCGACATTCGGGAAGCTTGAGTACCGAGTGTGGAATAACCATCAGCTTACCATTGACACGAAGCTGATGGTGTACAAATCCATGGTGCTGTCTCTTCTTCTATACGGCAGCGGAACATGGACGTTGTACCGGCGGCATTTGAGATATCTCGAGCGGTTCCATCAGCAGTGTTTGCGACGGATTTTGCGCATCGGTTGCGGCGACAAAGTTGCAGACACGGAAGTGTTGCGACAAAGTGGAGTGTATGTAGTGGACTGCATACTTTTGCTGCGACACCTGAGGTGGCCCGGTCATGTGAGCCGTATGGAGTCGACGCAGATACCGAAGCAGCTATTATATGCTCAGCTGAGTATTGGGAAGCGGCATGTAGGGAAACTAAGTTTAAGTTACCAGGACATGAGCAGCGTCAGCCGCTCACGCTCTAATCTTGATTGCGGATAATGGGAATCGAAGGCGGTTGATCGGCGTGCACGGCGCAAGCTAATCACCAAGGCAGTTGCCGAAGTGCGGGAGAAAGACGTTATACATGCAGAGAAGAAGCGGCAAGCGCCGATGGGTTGTACTCCATCGACATCGAGGGCATGTTGCTGTAGAACATGCGGTCGCGAGTGACTGAGTCAGGCAGGCCTAGTGAGCCATGAGCGAGGCCACTCGGGACCATTACTGAAGCGACGACGGGTCCTGCAGAGAACGTAGGCAGAACCGGCGCAGCGTTTGTAGGTACGCTGCATTCGATTTACTGACCCCGTGCTTGCATGCTAAGTCTATTAATTTCAGGTGGTAGGTTTTCAATTTTGTCCTAATACTTTTCTTTCTCATTTAAATGTACTCTCTACTAAAATCTTGCACCAGTCGCTGAAGCCAACTGTAGTTACTTTCAATAACATTTTCTTGTTTGTGGCATTTCCGTAAAATACACTTTCTGACCCCCTGAACTTATCTCGGATTCTTTTGTAAACAATTCATTTCATATGCCCATTAATTTAAGATTTATGTCACCGTTTCCTTATGCATTACTCGATTTATTTTATTTGTTATATTTCTCTCAAATGATTAGCTGTTGCTTGATATCCCCGTTGTGACTGCGATTGATGCGCATGTTGACAAGGTGCCTACCTGTCTATTACCCACTACCTCGTCCATACTGGCTCCAGGAGACAGTTGGGCGTTGCTGAAGGGGACGGGGTGCACGGTCCTTGTGGCCGTGCTAGGCTCGAAGGACGGTTCGATGCACTCAGTGTGGAGCGGACTACGTTCCAGCCACCGCCTTGTGTGCGCTTGATTCCCCAAATACAGTGTGCTTGTATTTGCCTGTGAAGGAGTGTGGGCCGGCTCCCTTGTTGAAACGTGGCTCCCATCCACAGGCCTCCGGGTCTTATTCCTTTGGGTTTACACTGGATATGGGGTGTGTGGATGGAGCTGTGGTTGGTGCAGTGCAAACCATCCATGGTCCCTCTGTAGGCGCAGGCGTCCTGTGGCTGGCCACAGTGACGGGCAAATCCGAAACCGGATGCCGCCAACCATATATATATATATATATATATATATATATATATATATATATATATAAAACCCGGCCGAAGATACTGCAAGTAGCAACCAGCAAGCTAGCCGAGCCAGTGACCATGTTGTGTCAGCGATCTCTAGATGATAACAAAATTCTTCATAATCAAGCCTTATCACTGCTATTCCCATGGGAGGTAGTCGTACTCGCCCCGAAATTTACTGCCTAATTACGCTCCTCTTATGTCCTCTGGCAAATCACCACATATCACCGGAGCAATATAGTTTTCACAAAAGTCGCTCTTCTGTATGTACCTGATAAGTACATACGATAGCTGGACCGAAGGAGTTGCTGGTGGACTATAGATGGATGTCGTCTAGCTGGGCTTCCCAAAGGCGTTTAATTGCTTCGACTATTGAATTCTCCGCACGCTTCGTAACTATGGCGTCGGTGACCCATGTCTCCGTTTGGTGGATATTTTTCTACTTGGTCTTCGGTTTGAGCTGAGAGTCCGAGAACCGCTTTCCGACGCAACTGAGGTGGGGTGCGGTATATCACAAGGCTCAGTGCTAGGGTTTCGAATATGCTTGATTTTGATAAACGATCTAGAGAGATCCATTGCTTCTGATTTCCTATTTTTCGCAGAGGATATTAAGAGGTGGCGGGCGATCAGAGGACCAAATCATCAAGAAAGGCTCCAACGCGATCGCTACATTATTTTGAGGTGGTGGATTCAGAAAGCCCTGCCAGTCAATATAGCAAAATGTTAAGTTATTTAACTGTGGCATAGGAACGACTACTTTTACAGGCTTGAGACACACAGCTTGCAGACAACTTCCCAGGAACGCGACCTTGGTGTGCTCAGACAGGGTGATATCAAGTGTTCAAAACAGGCTGAGGTGGCTGTGAAAAGATGCTGCCGGCATGTTGGTCTGCTGTGGATGGCAGTCAGGAGCATTGACCCACCAATCTTCCCAATAATGCACAGCTCTTATTTGCGTGCTCAAGTCAAATTTGCTATATAGGCATAGCAACCTTGGTTGAAGTTCAGCCTCGAGGTGCCAGAGACACCAAAACGCACGGTGACAAAGAAAGTCGTGTCTACGCAAGTTCTCTTACTGGCGAAGGCTGGAGTTACCGGGATTTTTCTGTTGACATTACCGTCGGCTACGCGGTGACCTCATATTAGTGTACCAAGTAGTGGGTGATCACAATCAAGTACGCCGCATTTTACTTTGGTTCAGCCACAAAACCAAGCTCAGAGGTCATCAGCCTAAATGCGGTGAACAGCATGGTCGTCTAGAATACGGACGGAATTACTTTTCTTTTCGAGTTAGTCACCCATGGAACTTCTTACAATATCTGTTACTTCGTCCACTAATTGGGATGCTCTCAAAAACAGTCAGGTATTAGTCCTAATTTCCATCACTCCGTTACATAAACTCTTTTCCTCTGGAACGAATCCATGATGTACACCAGCAGTAAATACGCATACTGGATTCATATAACACAGGGATACTAGGAAGAGGTACGTTAACGAGCGATGTTGGGTCTGATACCAGTGACTGGGTAGAGTCATTCATGAACTTTCGAACACAAAGTTAAAGAGAAACAACTTGATCTGTGAACTCAGTGGAGAGCTTCTCGTAGACCTGTGGCCTCAGTAGCTGCAATATGAGCAATTTAACATGTGTAATTGTTGTGAGATTTGATTGGTTTAAATGAGTTGATTTGAAGCTACATCCATTCAGATGGCCGGCACATATCCGGAATACATTCCCTCAGGGCTGCTCCGTAATGCATTTTCCCACGACCTGTAGAGTTGACCCAGACTATTGCAAGTAAGGAATTGAGGTGCTCAGTCATAATGTACACATGTAGTCAAGGTCGCCACCTAACTGGTTTACATTTATTCGCATAAAACTCCTGTTGTACGCCCACAAATATACAGATGCGGCCACCTGAAGGGACATGACTTTCCGGTTAAAGTGGATGACCGCACCAATGCAGCGGCATGTATTAGACAGTTAAAGTGTCTGACGCAGTCGAAATATATGGTTAAACCCCTGCTTGTCGTGGTACACACCGGCTTGGTTCTTGCTGATTTCCGTTTCCTTGAAGTCAAACGAGTTTTGGTGATGCAGTGCATGTGAGAAGTTTAGAGCTAGTTGCGGTAAAGCTACTTTTTCGGTATCAATCAAACAAATCACTTTGGTATTTTCTAAAGAAGGTTTAAAAACAATATACGCCAGTGTGAAAGTAACTCAACAACTCGAGCTACTGGACTAACGACGAACTATCAACCCAATCTTTCAGTTATTGGGGAAGGAAATCATTGACCTCATAAACGTCAATGCAGTTGGCAAATAGGTCACCGCACGATGTATGGGCGCTACATACTTTCAGAAAGCTACCACTTATTTACTTAACTAACCGTTAGCCATGCAAGCGTGTTCTTTATCTCTTTTGTTAACACGGTAACTATTCGTTTATGTCGGTCTGCGTTGCTTTTTGTTCACTAAGCCCGATTTTACGGAGGAGACGTGTCTGAATTGGATGAACCAACAACTGGCTAAAGCTCGTCCCCCTCTAGCTATCTCCATTCTGACGGAACCCAATGTGCGCAACGGTGTAGCGCTTGGCCTTCTACTGGAAACAGTAGGTAAGTTTTGAACGACTTTTCCTTCGTACGCCATTTGCTTGCTAAATATGTTAGCGGGACCATTATCTCAATCGCAACTTGGTCGTCTCCACGGACTCAGAAGTTATTTGGTCGCAGTCCCTGTTGCATGGTAACTGGTTATGAAACAGTGGAAAAACAGCTTGGAACGCGTGTATCAACCAAAGCTTACTTAACCCTGTGCGACGGTCTGGGTGAGATGAGCATATACGAAAATAAAAATAGTAATAAAACAGATCACGAAACTGTACAGAGAAAAAGGCTTTCGCACTCCTGTTATTTAAAATGTTTCGGAAAACTTTTAGCTCGGGTTAATAATTCAGTTGCTCATTCGTTCGCCGAGCTTAGAAATTTGTTTGAACGAACAAATGAGCAGCTGAATCACTTCCGTCATAGTAACCGATAGGCGGCCGTGCATCCGTGGTTTATTTAACCGCCCACAAGACATAATTTGCACGAACTAATTGCCTGCTGTAAGCACGTGTTCGAACCGCTTTCTTCTGAGTGTTAATTAGGGTAGTATACATCACGGTGGATGACGAAGTTCGAACGCTAAACCATAAACGGATGCCTAAATTTGTGCTCTGACCACATTCATGTTAAAGTAATCCTTGGTAGGTTCACCCTATTGTCCCTCGACTAAGTGCATAATATCGGTAAGTCACAACCAAATTGCAAGCCAAATGCAGTATCTCTATAGAACATTCGACACATTCCCGCTGCTAACAGGTATCCAGGAATCCTACGCTGTCATGTCCGAGGTAGCTAAATTTCGATACAGTAACGGAACAAGCGTATTGTCTACTGGTTGTTAGCACAAACGACGTAGTTCTCATAAGCAATGGTAAGCAAGCACATAGCGGAATAACCAACCAATCGTAAGGTTGTTAGCTGACGTGTGAACTGCGATTGATCCAGTGGCAAGTATGGAAAGCGGCATTCAGCACTATGCGAAGCGAGTAAGATAACGGTCGTTCAAGTGAATCACGAATAAAGAATGCACACTGGTGCTTTACCAAACAATTCCGTCGTGGGTTTTCAAACCTCGATAGCCCAATTGCGGTGCGAGCTGACAGGGATTAAATGAACACGTTCGTTTTCGTCCAGACATAGGGATGAAGCTCGTGGTAGTGGCCAGTCACAACATTTATTGTGCCTGCTTGAGGAGTATGCGAGTAGTACTCTTTCTCGTACCTTAACGACTGTCGTAGCAACGGCCTTTTCCGCCCGAAACGGTCGTAAGAGTTTAACTTTCCCCTAGCAATTGTAACTTAGTAAACCCTCACAACTGCGAATATCCCTTTAATATTTCATTTCATAGAACAACAATCAAATGGCAACATTTAGAGTGATGATGTAAGTGCAAACATTAGTAGTTTTACAGTACTTGTGTAAAATGACATTTACTAACACATTTTTTGTGTTTCACTTGCGAAAAAATTATCGATCAGACCATCAACATTCAGTCCAGCTGCAAGTTCCCTCTCTTTGGGGACAACTGTCAAGTCCGTGCGCTTTGACTGGTTCAGTGCTGCTCGATGCTTGAGTTTTGAGAAAGAGCACTCACAGCTAGCAACGCTAATAGCTGGGGTAAAAGAGACACGCAGTAAGATCACAATATTTGTATGAAACTCAAAAGTTCAAAGGGTCCATTGAATTTATCGTTTCCCGAGGCCTTCGGCAAAGAATCCTTATTTGCTCCATATTTCCCAAATTTCTCTAAGCGGACAATAATATTCATTACCACACATTTTTGATGGTGTAAAGAACCTATATTTGTTTGCAAGCTCATGAATTTGCTGAAATCTACGACATATTTCCTCAGTCGACCTGTCAATGACAGACAGCATTTCCTGTTTCCATTCGGTATCAAATCCCATTGATGTGTCAAACGATTCTTCCCCATCCTTTCGTTTTTTCTGACTAATTCGACGTTTCATGTTTACCTCCAATTCAGAGTAGGATTCTTTTGGATTCTTTAATTGCACCGTCCACCCTCTTCTCGCTATATGAAGTAGAGAAATTCATAACGCTGTGAGCTTGACAGAGCTTCACCGCAGATTCAGCTCTTTCCTTTTAGGATACATCAGTGCATCATTGATTTCTAGGAACACATAGTTCCAAATGCTCAGAAGCGAAGTAAACGTAAACGACAGTACCGAGGTGAGAATTACTAATGCATCCTCTGGTTGAATTTTCTTCTACTTATGGGGCTGTCCCAGAGTAGTGACCATTTCCAATTATCTCTTCACCCCAACATTTATAGCGTCTGCTCGACTACACTATCTAGTTTCCACGACCCGCTTAACACTTAGACCAGTCACCGGATTCAAGACGTTCCAGCGATATGTAGATGTGCGTAAGAAGGAGCACAATCGGTTCATTGTGCCAGAGAATGTAACAGATTGAACTATAGGAATGGATCTCAAATTCAATGAGGGTATACCTCACCAATACCCGCTCAGCACGGAAACAACCAAGTCTTCACAATGCACATAAGTTGAGCACAAATCACTGTACTTGCGACTATATCGATAGCTCACGGAGGCCAGAACAAGGTCATATTGGCCCATAGAAAGCTTTGAATGATGAGACCGTGGTACAACGATTTTGGGCGAAAATGCAATGCGTTCACGGATAACTGCAATGTGGGAGCGATGTGTGAGAGTGTATCGAGAACGATGTGGTGGGGACACTCTTTAGTGCCAACAGACAAAGGGTTCACAAGCTCCCAGTCACGCACGCAGTCATAGAAGACCAGTCTACCCACCACGCACTACACCTGGCTCTTATGCTGGGCATCATCTTCAAGCCCCGATTTCAGACAATCCGCAAGAGCCTTTTTGGCCGATTTCTCCTCGTATCTTCGCTTCCACTCGTCGTATTCTGATCGGACTGGATTCGTTCTAATTATCTTGACTTGCTTACTCGGGGTTACGTCGCCCTTCTTGGGGCTGTTTCTGGTGGCGTGGACAAATTCGGATCTCTCCTGAAACAGGCTCTTTAACACTACATCCCCCGTTCTTCTCGGTATGGACCTGATATCGTTTGTTGCTCGTTGACCAGTTCCGACTTGTTGCGTAGGCCTCGAGCTGCTTTGTCGATTTTCGTCTATGGTGCTCTCCTTGGTTTTCCTCTTCCTTAGTTTCCGCGGCTTGCTCGGCCTGTTTGTGATTCTTCTTTTCCGCGTCACTACAATGGGACAGATAGATGCAAAGGCGAGAAGGAACGGACAATAGACTGTGTTTTCTATCGTCCAGAGCAATATTACAAAATTCATCTATTGACTTATCTGAAAATTTTGCCGTTTCCACTTGACATTGCGCAGTTAGCTGAACTAAAACTGCTGCCCCCGGTCACATGCCGTACGATGTGGACCACTCTCTACCTTCTTGCTATTCCTTCACAACGAAAAACTCGATAGTCATCTTCACCCTAGGACGACTAACTTCTGTTCGGTGCAGACCTGTGTCTAACAGTTCAGTGTAAAAAGACAAAGCTGCGCGGCGCACCGACACTCGTGAAACGAGGGATAGCCTACAGCTAATGCAGAGTTGTAAGTTGGTACAGTGTGCGTTAACAAAAGCATCGCATTCGGTGACATTCGTTAAAGGGAAGAATGACTGCTAGTCTTCACACACAGTCCTTGGATACAGGTAAAGCAGCTGTCGATGCAACAAGGGAGAAAAGTGGACCATTCGTCGCAGTAACTATTTACGACATTGTTGGCAGCTCGGGGTCGATTTCTTTAGACTTTACCTTCATACCCCCTAACAGTACGGCTACAATACAAAACTTGCTTGCACTGTTGATGAAAAGTGGCTGCCACATGCCTCACTCGTGAGATGCTTAAAAACAGCACGTGTACACATTATCTTCTAAATAGCGTTCCCCGACAGCCGTCTGTCAAACTTGTTTCCACCCAAACCTCTTCTATCCGGCTTGACCAACCTTTGTTTAGCCAAGTAGGCTTCTGACTGTAATTATAATTACCCCTAATTGCTAACAATAAACCACCCGGGATATTGGCTTTACCCCACCTGTTAATTATTTCGCCGTAGTAAGATGTCAATTGATCTATACCTTTTTACCAAGACTGAGCGAGCGATGTATGAAATTCTGGTTATTGGACAGCTTTACCTGTGGGGTAGTTGCACTGTGGGTCCTGGTCCGGTGACACCCGCGGAATAAAACTGTGCCTTCCATGCATATTCCTGCGGTTCATAACGCTTTTTCCGGGCATGCCCACTGAATGAGCAATTTAGCCTGAATTCCTCTGCATATTCCATGGTGCGCTTGAAGTTAGCTGCTGTGGCGTGTAATATCTAACCATTGCGATGCAAGAGCCTGGTATTAACTTTAGCAATTCCATCTCTACAATGCCATACCCATTTTTATGCCCATGAATTCTGGTTGACGACCATAGTCCTTGTCATACACTGTCAAGAGAAAGCATTCAATGATACATTTATAATGAGATCAGATAGTCGTGCACATGCCCGGAAAAGCACTAGACTGCAGGTTCAGCCTTTTGGGCATGTGGACGATAATCAGACTTGGAAACTGGCTGCGAAGAACCTTATTTAATTACCTCAAAATCCCCTTCTCATGAGTACATCCAAATATATCCACCCGGACAGTTTCTAAATGCTATGTCGTACATAGCTACTGTTAGTGGACGTCGTGTCTTTCGGGGCTAACCCTGTCCTCTGCAACGTTCGTAACTTGCATGGCAGTGGAGGATAAGACGCGCTATATGGCACTTAGCTTGTAAATCATGACGGTCTGAAACTGTCCCCCGTGGCCCAGTGGCATAAGCTGCTGACTGGCGGTTTAAGCCGCTGGTGGTCATGGGTTCGAATCCTAATGGATTCGATGGATGCGCAATACTAACGATGCCCAACAGACTGAAACTGCAGTCTAATGCTTTTCCGGGCATGTGCACGACTAGCTGATTTGGCAACTGGCTGCGACCTACCTCA